TTAGTCCTAGTTCACCGCTTTGATTTACAGATTTTGTAGAAATAGAATTTTACCGTTTTGATAGTAAATAATAAAATATCAATTGTTCTTCATCATCACTCTTCCTCCATTCTCACATTTGTATAAATCTTAGTTGTAAAGAACTCCATATCGCTGAGAAAGAACGCAGAAAAATCGATTATCCAAGCCTTATTTCTTTGTCACAAACAAATTCAGGGTAGTTCAATGTAGTTAAGTACGCGAGAATCTTGTCGACCTGCTTAATTACTGATCTAAATTCGATTTTTATTAAAAAGAGATGACAGAAGGGTAAAGCCACTAATAAGATTGAAATTGGAATAATTAATGGGGCATAGGCGGTGGTCTATTAGGTCACAGAATCTCCTAGTGACAGTAGTGTTTCTTTTTTATAATATTCTAATTATGGGCATCATTGAAGTCTTGTTGTAACTCCCTTAAGGTCAAGTATCAACAATCTAAGTTCCTTATAATTTGGTTTATATGATTATCTTACTCCATCCTGCCATTTTCGTATTATACATATACATTTTGAATAACACCAACATCATTCGCTCATTTCATCCAGGATAATCTAGCCATTAAGAAACACACAAATCAGACACAACACCTCTTTATCACCCTTCTTCGCTCAATCTATATAAATATATTGTGTCTTTTCGCTCATGTCCCTATCGCTCGCTCATCGCTGGCACCACCTCCGCTCATCATTGCTCGCTCACATCCGCTTACCCTTACTGCTTTCTTTAATTTTTCTAGTTTTCTCTAGTTTTTAGATTTAGACTTGCTTTCGAGCGAGTCTCTTTACTGTTTTATCGCCATTTTCACCAGATTAATACTCGATTTGACTTCGTAACTTAAAATCCCTATGTTCGACCTGGAAACTCACCAGTTAAATAGTATAAACAATTATGATAAACGATTTGGGGTCTACAACTATAAACTTTAATTTATATCTGATCGCTCACAATAACCCATTACACCTTAATTTTCAACCAAAATTCCATGTATTTGAATATATAAAATCGTTTGTGTCATATAAATTTTGTATTTTGAACTTTAATATCTTCAAAATCCTTATAAAAAATAGAATTTGAGTCTTGCTTTTGTATTCAATTTTCCTTATTTTTGCAAGCTTTGACACTAAGGGGATGAATAGAACGTGATTCATCAAAAGTGTCACTATATGATATTGGAGGATTTGAACCTAATGAATATCCATCAGCTTTGTTGATTTTACTTCTCTTTGAACCAACATTACTATCATGAGATGTTTCACCAACAATATTAGTAGCACAATAACTCATATGTCATTTTTGTTCATGTTTCAACTTACGGCCTACATGCTTATATGTGATACTTGTCATAATCGACAAAATATATTTCGTATACTTTGTTTAAGACATCATCACTAGACTACTTATTTTGTTTTACTTTGTTAGCGCTCATAACAACCAGCAAATTTTTATATAGCTTGACTAATGTTTTGCCAACGCTCTTTACATTATCTTTAATTTCTTCGTGTACTTGTATCCAATTTGTTTTCCCTGTAATATTAAGATGTTCTCTTCCAAAATGCTGAACCCTTTTTACCAGGGTTTGTAATGGCATCATTGCTTATATTAAGCCATGCACTAACAAAAAGTATATATTCTTCATGACTCTATTTTTTTTTTTTTTTATCTCCCAGTTTGGATTAACGATCTGCACATCATCACCTTATGTGCAAAAGTCATGAATTCATTTTGTATGTGTATTTCTCATTGAATCAAGTGGTGAAGGATATGATAAAATTTCAAATGTTTGAAACTTCGGCAGGTAAAAATTTGGTGGAATAGAAAGGTAGGGTGAATTGTTGAAATTTGGAGTGTTTGATAATTGAAAGTAGGATTTTGGTTTGACGAATATGGAGGGCGGCCTCGATGGACCGAGTGGTAATAACATTTCATCTGACGCGGCATTACGAGCAGCCCCAAGGGATGAGCATTGGACATGCGCCCGGAGGAAAAAGAAGACAAGAGCACAAAGACGAAGGAAGCAACATCGATGCCAGACAACTAGTTCCGGTCAAAAGGAGATTGGCAACAAGGAAGTGAGCTCTTAGCAAGCCATACATGGATTGATCAGGATAAAAATGTGTCGGACAAGAGTGGTTTGCGACGTCCGCACCAGATCTGACAAGAGTGGAGGCCAAAACGAGTGATTTCGGACAACAAAGCTGTCCTAGATGAGCAACCTCCTCTGGAGGATCCAAAAGCTCCAGATATGGAGCACAGACCTATGATTAGGCCTTTCGAAGATGATAGAATTTCATAGGTCAGTCTCGACATCATAGCAAATGATCGAGACTTGGAGTGAGCCCTACAGTACGAAGACAACTTCAACGTCGAGGCGGTAGGATTTTTACCAAGAAAATAAAAAAGCTTTAATCCCATCCGTCACAAATCTGACTATGAGATGACCCGGACTAACTCCTTACCGCTGAACGAATATGGCCATATAAAGCTAGCGCCGAAGTACCGTCGAAACCTCGTACAAAAACATTGAGCTTCAAAGTTTCACATTTAACGCAAACTTCTCGCCCAAATATTCTTATGATGGACATTTATTAGTCCCTAATTCATTTGTTAATCCCAAATGTTTTTAGGCCTCCGAAGGTGATTGACAGCTCAATTCGGAGGAGTGGATCGACTGGCCCAAATGGCCTCAATTTGGCCCAAGATGATGTACGGATAAACACCTTGTCAAAGTCCAACTTAATGATAAATAAGTGAGTAAAGAATCTTCGTAAAAACCAATGTGGAATGCAGAGACTCCTAAAGCAAGATATGACTATTTAAGCGGAGAGAATCATATACATCCACACCAACACCACTCAAATCCAATAATTTTATTTTTCTTTTTTTATTTTTTTTATTTTCCTGCACCATTTTCTTTCTTACTTGCATTATCTTTTAAATCAACCGAGCAGCAGGTCCAGTTTCTTGTTCTTCAATTGTTTTTGTTCATTATTATTTTTTTTTTTCAGATTTATTGCTCTTATATTATGCAATTTAATTCCAACCCAATTAAAGTTAATTCCCAACTTTTATTCTTTTGTTATTCCTTAGTACGTGGGACTAGGAGGGTCAACAGACTCAAACCCTCAAAATATATATATTTTTAAATATAAAAAATAATAAAATTATGTATTTTATAATAATATATTCTTTCCTAATTTTTTATTTTATAGTATAAAAAATCATAAAAATTTTATCTGTTTGTTGATTTATTTTTAATTTTTAAATTTTATTTTTTATAGTAAAAAAATATTAAATTTTATGTAATTTTATTGAATTTTTTTTAAAAAATATTTAAAATTTTCAATTTTTCTAGTTTTTGTCCGGATGTACTATGAATAAAAAAAACAACATTGAATCAATAAAAAAAAAAAAAAAAAAAATCGATTTTGCCCCCCTGAACTTTTACCGCTGATTCCATCACTGGTTGTGTGTTAACTTTAATTGCAAAACTAAGCTCAAATGTTTTATTGAGTAAATCGAAAAATCTGATCTAAGTCGATTTTGACCGGTCTAAATTTATTAGACCATCATCGACAAAAATTTTAGCAATAGGAGTTAGTTTTGATTCTTTTTAAATTTAATTTGGGTTATACAATTTCCTCTCCAGCTACTAGTATAGTTATGTATTCATAAGACCATATTCGAAACTCTTAATTTGCGCGCATACAAAGATATTTTTTTAAAGATATACTCCCTCCGTCTATTTGTAATATATACATTTACTTTTAACATGGTGTTTAAGAAATAATAATATTTTAATTACAGCGAGTGGTTAAAAGTAGTGTAATGATATTTTTGTCCTTATTTTTTTTGTGTAAAAGTAATAATGTGATGTAAAATAAAAGTATTTGTGAAAAAAAATATTATCTCCGTCTCATAACTAAATATCTATTTACTTTTTGCGTGTTGATTTTTTAATATTAATTATTATATCAAAACGTATTACAAATCAAGAAAAAATTGTAAAAATATTTTTATTAGTGTCTTATAATACTAATATAATGACATTTGTATAAAAAATTACAAATATAAAAATATTTTTAAAGTTAATATAATGATGCAAAAGGTAAATGAATATTTTATTATGGGACGAACGAAGTAGAATATTTAATAAAATATTTATTTTTAATTAAATATCCTAAAATAAAAATATATATACTTTTTAGCGGTGAGCCGGAAATAATGTATGTGACAAATAAATACACCAATGTTGTTATTATAGTCCCTAGTGGTGCATATGTATACGATCAACCCTTTTGCTATTAATAGCCGTGACAGGGAAGCAATCCCATTATGGGATTATTAAAATATTGAATCGTGTCTCATCATAACATTTTTTCAATATATTTTAATGATTATAATAATATTAAAGATTGTTGGTGGTGCATTTTTTAAGCATTGTTTGGGGCTACGTGTCGCTGTACTATACGAAATTACTGCTAAAATAATAAACAAATGTGCTTAACTAGAATCTTCTTAGGGTGCGTTTGTTTGGAGTTTAAATTTTGAGATGGATTTGAATAATAAAAATTTTGAATTTAAATAATTGTATGATGTTATATAAAATAGGTGTTGATATGATATTTTGAATATAAAATTGATTTTTAATATAATATAAAAAATAAAAAATAAATATTTAATTTGATATTCTTTTGAAAAAAAAAAATAAAATGAATAGTGAAAATCTAATCCAATCCTCCAAACAAACACACTTTTAATCAAATAATCATAAATTTATTACCTTTTTAATAAATTAATATATATAGGCGAGATTTCTCGTTTCTAATAATAGTAAACCAAGTAATATTTTATGTCAAACAGGGCCTTACCAGTCTCTGGACTTCCCCGCTCCTGGATCTTAGGTCCCGGGAGCGGCTAATTATGCTCCTTCCTTCTCTTGTCTATGTATATACTGTTCGCCGTTTTCCTTCGTCCCTCTTCTTCCATTAATGAAGCTCCTTACGATCCATTGGTGATTGGATTGCAATTTCTAGAGAATTCTTAGCTCCATCGGCAGATTTGGTATTCCGATCGGATGAAGATTCAGTGCGATGTATGCGACGAGGAAGAGGCGTCGGTGTTCTGCGTCGCCGACGAAGCTGCGCTCTGCGCCGCCTGTGACTGCCGCGTCCACCATGCGAACAAGCTCGCCGGAAAACATCACCGCTACTCTCTCCGTCCTCCATCGCCAAATCGATTTCCAATCTGCGATATCTGTCAGGTACTGCCTTCGCCATTAAACACCAGATCGAAATCATTTCCAGTAATACGAAATGCGAATCGTATGTATAAACTTGCTCGCCATGTGCTCGACAAATTGCCTCAACGAACTACTTCGATTTTCATCGATCAGGAGAGAAGAAGCTTCGTGTTCTGCCAACAGGACAGGGCGATTATGTGCAAGGATTGCGATTCTTCAATACACGGAGCGAATGAACACACGAAGAAGCACTCCAGATTTCTCCTCACCGGCGTTGAGATTCGTTCGAGTTCATCGTCACTTCCGTCTTCTACCTCTAGCTTGAATAGCAACAATAACTCCTCTGAAGATGCTGTTCCGAAGAACAAGCCAGGAGGTACAGGTACAATTCCCGCAGCATCCGGTACACCTTCCACTGCGAATGGTACAACAACGACAGCTGAAAGCACATTAATCTCCTCCTCAGAAAGCAGCTTCTCAGAATACCTAATGGAGACGCTACCAGGATGGCACGTTAAAGAATTTCTTCATTCTCCTTCACCTTCTCCTTCCCCAGCCTCTCTCCATGGCTTCTCCTTTAAGGTAATACTCTAATTTCCACTTCCTATCATTATATATATAATTTACACACAGATTGCCATGGTTGTATATCTGCTTCGATATTGTAGAATGGAGATGAGAGTGATTTGGTTCCAACTGGACTGGGGGTTTGGGTTCCTCAATCTGGGGAGACGATGATGATGTCGTTTGGGGCAGTTACAGATGGATTCATGGCGAGGGAATTTCCCCAATCGAAAGAGCTTTTCACAATCACTGACTGCAGCAACAGAAACAGCACCAAATTGAGAAGGAAGCACCATGATCAAGGCAAGTCTCTTGCAGTTGCAATTCCTCAGATAAGTTCTTCGAATCTCGTTTCTGAAAGATTCTGATTTCATCTCTCCACCCATTAGTCACCTGGTTTAATTTATCCATCTTTCTAGGTTTAATTTCAATTTGGATTCCGATTTGCTGTTGTTGGAACATTCATTTCCATTGATTTGATCAAGAAAAAATTTAGGGTTTGTTTGATTGTATTTTGGATTTTTTTTTTTTTTTTTGTAGTGGTTTGAAAATTTTGAAGAATAGTAGTTGGTGCTATGTTTTTTTTTTATTTTTTGTTTTTAGAATATTATTATGTAAACAAATCGTGTCAGAATTTATTATATTTTTTATATTATTTAATTTATTTTTGCTAAATTAATTTGAAATAAATTTTTATTTAGATTTTTTTAAAATAATATTTTAATATAATTTTTTTATTAAAAAATGTAAAGGAAATAAATTATTTTTATAATTAAATTGATTTATATTTATTAAGTATATTTAATATATGAATAAATTTATTTAAAAATAAAAATATGAGAGGGATGAAATATCAAATAATTCCTTTCATACCAAAGTATCTATTTTTTTCATTTTAATCCATAATATAACAAAGTATCTATTTTTTTTAGTAATTGTACTATCTAACCAACGTTACAAATATCTTTAGAATATAATATACAAATAGCATAATATCATACAATACTAATAAAATTATTTTAGTCATTTTTACTTTATTTTTACTTACATTCAAATATAATATTAATATTTCTAAAATTTCGTGCAAAAAGAAAATTGATTCATAGTTATGAGACGAAGAAGTACGATTTTTTTTTAATATTAATATTTCTAAAATCTCGTATAAAAAGAAAATTGATTCATAGTTATAAGACGAAGAAGTACGATTGTTTTTTAAAAAAAATAATATGAAGTGACACAAAAATGCACATGTTTTTTTTTTTTTTAAAAAAAAATTGAATTTATTTTGAAAGTTTTAAAGTTTGTTTGCTTAATTACAATTTTATGACACGATTATTATAATATATAATACTACATATTTTATTTTTTCATAAAATAAATAAATATTACTATTTAATATAAAATATTACTTTAAATTAAAACATTAAACAACAAACCTTTAGTTTTTATTAAAATAATATTTGAGAAGTATTATATGTTGTAAAAAAAATATTTTTTCCATCAACTTGATAAATATATATATTTTTTATTGTTTATTACAAATTATCATTCAAATATAATATTTATTAAATTTTATAAAAAAAATAAAAAAAATAAAATAAAATATAGCTATAAAATGGGCCATTGGAATATATTTTCTTTAAAAACATAAAATTCAGACATGTAAAGAATTTAAAAAGGAATAAAGCCTTTGTATATATGGTAGTATTTAATTATCTTTTTATTGATCTATTAAATAATTGATCTTATGCAATAATGATTTTAGCTCTATCCAATACACATGAAACATAAAACAATACAATACATATTGTGTTAAATAAAATAATATAATTATAATATATGAATGCATTTTTTTTTTGTATTGAAAATAATTTATACATTGGGTTGTGTTCGATTATGACATATGTTGTCCATTTATATATTGCATTTGTATCATGTTAATATAGAACAAATATTATAAATAATAATAAAAAGAAAAAAGAAAAAAACAATGTAGAGTTGATTTATCACATGAAATACATTTATACAACACAACTATGTATTTTAATTTAACACTTATGTGATATTTATATTAATATCGTGTAATATTTGTCTTTAATGTGTGTTGTCAGCATATATATTATTAGTGCGTTTACTATATGAGATTACGGTGGATAATACTATTTTATTTAACTTAATTTTATATTTATTTTAATGTATTAGAGTCATATATAATTAAAGATTAGTTATAATCAAGGGTAAACTGTCTTTTTTTAGTCTGAACTCCTTGTTATTTTAAGTGGATCATGTCGCAAACTAATCCCGTAATAAGTGAAAAAATTTCGTTGTTTTAGTCCTCCAGCGTTGGAGACGCCCGCGTGGCTCGCCGGAAGTCACGTGTCCTGCCAGGTCAACGACACCTGGCAAACACGTGAATTTTATTTTTTATTTTTTATTTTTTTCAATTGGACCAAATAAAAAAATTTAAAAAGGCAAATAAATTAAAAATAAATTTAAAAAAAATTAAAATAAATAAAATATAAATAAAATAAAATCTATGTATCCGCCAGGTGTCGCTGACCTGGAGGACACGTGGCCTCCGGCGAGCCACCTGGGTGTCTCCGACGCCGGAGGACTAAAACAACGAAAAATTTTCACTTATAAGACTAGTTTGCGACAGACTCCACTTATGAGACTAAAATGACAAAAGAGTCCAGTTACGAGACTAAAAAAACAGTTTACCTTATAATTAATTATACTAATTTATAGAATTATTAATGAAATCTAACCCGCTAATATTATTTAATTATACTTACTAAATTATCCAAATTATTCTTCTCTTTAAACACTTAGAAACATTTTATATAAATATAATAATAATTTTTTTATTTAATATATTTTGATTTCATTTGAAAAGTAAGTTATATATATATATATACTCCATCCGTCTCATTGAAAGGTTGTCATTTTTCATTTTTGTCTGTCCCAAAATAAGGTTACAATTTCCTAATTTAGTAATTGTACTACCAACCTAACATAATAAATACCCTTCCAACTTACACTATATTACACAAATGTCATTACTTTTATATTAAACAATACTAATAGGGGTACTTTCGTCTTTTTCACTACAACCTATTATAATACTAAAATTAAAAAATTTATGTGCAAAAAGTAAACGACACCTTTGCACCGGGACGGAGAGAGTAATTTTTTTCTTTTAAATTTTTTATCCAATAATATAGAGTTACAAGAATGCTATAAAATTATGTTACTAAAATTTAATTTATAATTTTGAAGACAAAATTAAATATATTTAATAAATAACAAAAATATATAAATTATATATATGCGTTATCAGTGAGTTCACTCTGTCATTTTTTCCAATGGAACAATTATTCATAAATATTATTTAAAAAATAAAAATACACATGCATTAATATAATATATATCATCATTCATAAAAATTCAATCATTCAACACAATTTCTCATACCACAAAAAAAAAATCAATTCATCCTAAGTGACAGATTATGTCATGACAATAACTCAGTTAAATTTTAATATTATTATATATTATTGTTAATGTATTTTTTTAAAAAAAAAAGAAGTAAAATTCGAAAATAGAGAAATATCTTCGAATTTGATAGATGAGTGATTGAGATTACGGATCTCTAAACACTGTAGAATATATAAAATAAAATAGGAAAAATAAAAATAAAGACTGGAAAATAAAGTGGTGATCCCCAAAAGCAATTCTCTTGAATTTTTTGTCGATTGAAGATGCTTTTTCAGAACAAACCTGAATCCTTAAATAACCTCTTGAAGAAACGATTTGAACCGTCGTCTGGTCGGTTGCAGCAACCGCTGTTCAACCACCCAGAAAATCCTCCTCTATCAACACGTGTGTTAACCGACTCACCAACCGCTCGCGCCAGTTACAGCACTCAACTGCTCAGCCGACCGCCTCTGAACACTTTTTTGCCTCAAATGGGTGGCTGGCCCGACCGGTTACTCAGCCGCCCAAAATAACCCCTGACTCCTTAGACGGACCGCAGTCCAACTGACCAGTCCAGATACTAACTAGTCGCCAGACCGAACGATTCATTGTTCGCTCAATCAAGCGACCACCATCCAGTCTCTTTAATCGGTTGAACAACCATTCGTCCGGACGCTTGATTGGTCGCCCCATCAAACGACCAACAGACCGCCCTTTCAAGCGACTGAACTACTGTTTGACCAAGTGACCGACCAATTGATAAAGTGACTAACAGACGACTAATTAACAGACCTTTCTTCGCCCGTCTTCCTTTTGCCCGACCTATATGCCACCCGACCAATCCAGAGACTAACTGATCACTAGACCAAACGATTTCTTGGCCGCCTCATCAAGCGACCACCATCTGGTCTCTTGTCCGACCACGTATCGTCCGTCTCATTCTTCTTCGCCCGACCTTACTTAGTTCGAACTCCACATCAACCGACCTCCATATCAGCCGACCTCCGTGTCGTCCGACTCAACCGACTGTGGACCGCCGACCTGCTCAACCGACTTTGGACCATCCGACCTATTTAACCGACTGAGAACCAACCGACCGCAGACCAACCAAATGTGGTCCCGACCACAGAGCAACCGACTGTGGTCCCGACTGCAGACCAATCAACTGTAGTCCCGACCACAGAACAACCGACTGTGGTCCCGACCACGGTCCAACCGACCTTGGTCCCGACTGCAGATCAACCAACTGTGGTCCCGACCACAGAGCAACCGACCGGCTTATTTGCCTTATCTACTTAGATGGACAGACTGTCCTCTTGACAGACATCCGCGTCTGTCCATACTTCTTCCTTGCCCGATATTCGTCTTGACAGACCTTCGCGTCCACCGATACTGTTGCTTTGCCCGACCTTATCACGCCTGAGCTCTGTGCCCGACCTTGTCGTGTCCGACCTCCGTATCGACCGATCATCCTACCTTTTCTGACTTCTTTTTTCCCGACTTTTGGGCTGTTTGGCTTATATCCAGACCCATCCAGAATTCTATTGCCATTATTTATTATTATTATTATTTTTTGTGCTTAACAATTCTATTGCTATAACTAGAAATCAATATATATATATAATAAATTATAGTATTACAATAATATATAATAACATTATTAAAGGTATTTTGGGTAAAAAAAAAACAATATCATATTCTCAAACAAAGTAAATATAATATAATTTTATCTTATATTTAATCACGCAAAGTAAATATAATATTAATTAGTTCATTGTTATATAATTCATTAAAATAATATAAGTATTATAATGTAATTTTTCAAACTAAACGCACCTATATATTCTTTGTCCTGTATTATGTTCTATATGTGACTAATTGCGGAACTGGACTAAAATTAGAGGGAGGGAGAGGACAATTTTTTTAAAAATTATACAATATTCTAATATAATGAATTACAAAAATATTAGACTAAAATTAGAGGGAGGGGGAGGACAATTTTTTTAAAAATTATACAATATTCTAATATAATGAA